AGATTTATTAAAACTCTTTTTACATTTTTGTAAATAATTCTACTGTCATCTTATTGATATTTCAAGGAGATGGACTAGCATCTGCCATTAGATGCTAAAACTATATTAAAGCATGACTGTAAAAATAGTAATTTCACCTTTCAAGTCCCCGACTAGTATAGGTTGACTACAAAAAAAAAGCTAAAAATAATTTTGTAAATTCAAATCCTATTTCCAGCCTAATTAAATTACTGCCCAAGAATTCTGCAATTATTGTCATTTATGAAGAGACAAAGTATTGTGTTTTACTACAGGGGCAGATTTTAGGCTTGTGATATGATATCACATATCACTCCTTATCATAATATGGAGTGCTTCCTTCCACTCCAATATTGGCCTTTGTTTATCAAGAATAACTTGACCACACTAATACATTCAAAGCTTCACGACCAAATCAAGCTATTCCAGAAGTTATAGCTTACACAAAATATACAAATGCTATGCTCACCCATATCAGTCATGTCATACTAATTCTAAAGGGTTTCCATAGGCTTTTAGTTAGCCGCTACTTTAATTTCAGGATGATATACAAATACAGTATTTAGGAACATTTGATGGAGCACCTGCTCTCTGAGACACCTGCTCATCACTTAAAGGATTTAATGATGATGCCTTCTTGAAAGAATCATATCTGACAATCAATTCACTATATTAGCAATATGAGAAAGGGCATCTCAATAGGCATACCTAACTATGAATTTCCCTTCTTATTCTGTGTATCTGTTCACCTAAGCTTAATTAAATTCTGCACTTTTTGTTGGCACTGTTGCCTTGTTTTAGATACTTAAGGAATTTATGGATAAAACATTTTAGTGTTTTTACTGGATTTTTTTGAATGGTAGCTTTTAAAACATTTTATTTTTAAAAAGTTAACTATATCCCCACACTGGAATTATTTGTAAGGATCATATAGCATATGCAGAAACAATAAAATACATAATTTGGCTTGATTTAATAAAATATATACGAATTCTGAACCAAGGAACTTCATTTCTGTGCTAAAGCATATAGTTCTGCTATGCAAAAAAAGCAGATTTTGCTTATTTTTTTTGGGGGGGGGAGGGTTGTTGCCATTCATAAGAATGTGAAAATCAGAAAATATTGCAAGCCACTTCATACCACTGCTAGTAAATTCAGATCCTTGGCTTACTACTGACTCATAAGCTAATACTGATCACTTTTCTATCTCTGTTGTCCTAAAAATTGAAAGTTCTCCAATTTTCAGATACTCCCTTTACAACTTGCTGCAGTTTTCTTGCCAAGATTTTTCTGGTTTGCCATTTCCTCCTTCCTAGGGCTGAAAGAAAATGACTGGCCAAAGGTTAACTAGTTGGCTTCATGCTTAAGGCAGGACTAGAACTTATGATCTCCAGGTTACTAGACTGATGCCTTAGCCTGAGCCACCAATCTGGCTCAGATGCAGCTACTACCAAAGTGAAATGGAAATATTGTTCTAACAAAACTATTTAATAATAGGTATTAAGAAAAAATAAGGAACTACTGTAATTGCATTTGTAAAGATCTACTGATTGTTTCAAGAAAAGATAAGATTTGACAAGTACTGATCACAGATTACATTTACATTCGTTGTGTTTATAAATGGTTTGGTTATTTGGTATTTAGAATTTGAATTCATCTAGCACAAATCCAATTATCCAATAATTATTTTGCTAAATCATGTTATTGAAAAATGCATCAAACAATTGAATAAATGGTTTCTAAATGCATTCAGAGAACTCTGAATGTTCTATTATACAAATATGATGGCAGTAAACCTAGGGTAGTGAAATTTAAACAATTGTGTACAATTACATATTTAATAGTGGATCAATTTCATAGTGATATGGTGAGTAAATCCTAGCCTCCCTCACTTACTGTTTCCTAATCTTTTCCTCCCAGCTTGAATCTAGCTCTGAAATCAGATTGGGGGGGGGGGGGAGCAGAGAAAAAAGGTAGATAATTGGCAGAAAAAAACTTGATTTTTCCTTAGTGTTCCCTTTAAAAAAAACTCCACTTTGTAGGTGATGTGGCAGATCTCAGTTGCAATCTTCTTTTAAACAGAGAACCACCCCATGAAATGCAACGTGAAGTGATTTTAAGAATAGAAAGGGAACAGTAAGAATTCAATTAACTTTCTTCCTGCAATTATCTACACCCCTCACCCATGTATTTTTCTCATCTTAGCATGAACAGCAATGTACTGCAGTCGCCAAAATAGCATGCACTTTTAGGCTATACCAAGAGGTATAATGACAAAATGATAAGAATTGATAGTATGACTGTATGGTGTGGAGTCCCAGTCACTAGGACAAAAAGGATGCTGAGAAACTGGAGAGTGCAAAGAAAAGTAATAAAGATGGTAAGAGGCTTGGAGGCTAAATGAAAAATGGTTAAAGGAATGTGATATGTTTAGCTTAAAAGGAGAAGAGTAATAGGAAATAAGACAGTAGTCTTCCAATACATATGAAGAAATGACACAGGGAAGAGTGTGTTGATGTATTCTTCAGAGCAACCAAGGGTAAGAAGAGCTTCCAATGGGTGGCAGCTTTACAGTAAGGGATCCAAACCTGAAATGAGGAATTTCTTAATTGTGAGAGCTATTAAGCAATGGAACACCCTCCTCCTTAAACTGTAGTGCTCCATCACTAAAGATTTCAAAGAAAAGACTGAATGCCATTTGTTTGGGATGGTCAGAGTTCCACATTGGGCAGGGGATTGGACCAGATGACTTCTAAGGTCTCTTCCAATCCTAAAATTCTATTACTTCAGTGAGAGTACAATGCGCAAGACCAACCCAGACTGATTCATGCAACCATAGGTAAAGTGGGTACTGTATCATCTAATATAGCAAACTACAAACAGCTAGTTTACCAGTTACTCATTATGTTGGCTGGTGTATCAGGTGAAGGTATGGGTCCGAAATAAGTAACTGAAATCTACATTTTTTATATAGAAACTAAGTTGGGTTTCAATGCTCTTTTTCTGCAGACTGCTTCAAAATATTACAGCCACAGCAACTTACTACTTCCATGTAAATTGAATATACATAACCTATATTTTAATAATCATTTCTCTTTAACTGTCATATCAAACTGTATACGGACCCAACTGCTGAGAAGATTCCCTTCAAAAGACAAATGTTTAAAGAAATGTTGTTTATAAAAATCAGAGAACTTAAACCAAGATCTTGTTAGCTTTAATAATCTGGCCATCAAATTAGCATCAATCTCCATATAAAAAATCAAGTAGAAAGCTATGTAATAATATTCTTGACTTTCTGCAACTATTTTTTCTGTTTCATATGGATGGAATTGAGAATTTGTACTCAATTATGCATAATAAGCACTGTGAGTATATGCACCAGAGACAAATTTCTTGTGTGTCCAATCACACTTGGCCAATAAGCGCTAGCACCAATGAATTAAATCTTGCCCAATCTAGTGCCATCCATGTGTGCAAAAATTCCTAAAATCTATTACAGGGGGATTTATGAGAGTTTAATAATTCTGAAAAACATTAGATTGGAGAACAATGAATTATAGAAAATCCTTGACTTACAACCACAATTGAGTCCAAAATTTCTGTTGCTAAGCAAGACAGATTAAGTAAATTCTCCATTCTGGGTGACTTTGCTTGTCAGAAGGTTGCAAAATCATGACCCTGAGACACTGCAAATGTCATAGATGTGAAGCAGCTACCAAGCATCCAAATTTTGATCCCATAGCCATGGGGATACTGCAACAGTTGTTAAGGGTAAAAAACGGTCATAAATCACTTTTTTCAGTGCGACTGTAACTTTAATGGTCATTAAATGAATGGTTGTAAATCAAGGACTATCTGTAATCCTTTTCTTTAAATGTATTATTGCTAACCTATCTAAATCCTTTTGGGAAACAGATCTAAATTTTGCAACAAATATTTGCAATTAATTTTTAATTTTAATGGCATCCTCTGTACTACATATAAATGCCTTCATAACTTCTATTTAAGATCACTATTATTCTGTAATCTTTTAAAAGATTTTGTAATATCTTCATAAGTGAAGCTACAAATAAAAAGTAAATAATGCAACAAATTACAATAAATACATTATCCATTACGATAAACATACCTCCTTAAAAATGATATCCAGGGTGAAAATAGTACCTGTTGTTTCTCCCCCCACATACCTGAAAGCAATTATTTATTTCAGGAAATAAACCACACGATTATGTGCAAACTACTGTAAATGATGCTCCTACATATCTAGTTAGGCACATTTCAATTTGAATGTGAGAAGCCATATGAATATCCAGATCAGACTATCATCTATCTGAATTTTCTGGCATGCTTAAAATAAATACATGTAGCTTAGACTTTTATTTATGAGATGAAATTGAGGACTCATACACTGAGAAGGAATCCTCAGTTGCATCTAAGCACACACAAAACTATCAAGATAAATACAATTTCAGTCAAAGGGATCTGAATTAAATTTACACGTTAAAACCAACACAAAAAGGTGGTTTTATTACCCTCACAGATCTCTCGGCAGCTTCGAAAAAGCAATTAGCACAACTTTCCACAATAAAAACCCTTACAGGCGCGGGAAAGAAGATTCTGCAGAAAGCGAAGATCGCTTCCGCCATCATCGAGACCTGAACAGGTAAGGCGAGAGAGGCGGGCTAATAAGGAGCGAGCAAGGCTCGTCTCTAGTTGCTCTCCCTTTACACAATGAATCAAGAAAAAGAAAAGCAGGCCTCGGCCCTCCTCCTATTAAAATCGGAGAGGCAACCGGACGCCAATTTGGGTGTTGGGGCGGCTGTTTGGGTCTCCACCCTCCTTTATGCGACCAAGAAGGGCCTGCAGAAAGGATCCCGGAGCTTGACGGGCGGGGTTGGCACCCAGCGCGGCAGGGAGCTCCGTTCGAGACGGAGACCATCCTTCGCGGATAGCCTGGCGGGAGCGAAGGCCTCTCTCACCTCAGACACTTCGTCCTCGTCGCTGCCAGATCCACCGCCGCCCCCACTTCTCAGGACAGCGGCCGCCAGTTTAAAGTCGAGGGCGGCAGCGGCGGCAGCAGCCCCGGCCTCTCCCGAAGTTGTTGCCGAGCCTATCGGCCCACAGGGCCCAGCCTCTCCGAAGAGGCGCACGGCCCGCAACCCCAACGGGTTAGGCCCGGCCGTGGAGGCCTCAACGATGGCGGCCGGGGCACCACGGGGCGTCACCGAGTCTATTTCCTCATCGCCGGTGGGAGTCGGGGCGGCTGTGCCGTCCGTAAGCATCGCGCGTTGATCCAAGCTTCAGCCGTGGGAGGGGGGGGGAACGCCGTCTCCGTCCCCTCACAGCAGCAGCGCCACTAACTTCTCACACCCTATCTAACCCACAGTCACCGCGCTGCCCTCGCCAACCCAGTTCGCTTTTTCCATTGGTCACATTCGCCCGATGCTTCCAGCCTCATTGGATACAATCGTTGTCACTCTAGAGTCTCGTCACGCGCTCCTTCACCCTCCCACCAGCAAGATACTATGAGAGTACACGCTGAGGCGGTTTAGACTGCCCGCCCACCACTTAAGTCCTGCAAGCTCGCTTCCTGAAACTGCTTCGATATTATTAGATAGCTGCTATGTCAATCAATTTCTAGCCTCCAAATTTTGTTATCTGAGTGGCTAAGACAACGGTATTTCGAAATACCTTTAAGCTTGATTAAACAGAATAAACATCAATCATAGCCTTCTCTTCTTGGCGGTGTCCGATTGGTGTATGCTTTCTTTCTTTTCCAATTTCCTCTCTTTCCACTAAAATGTTCGACCGGAGAAATCAAACTCCCCCGCTTTAAAAAAAATAGCGTCAGTATAGGAAAGAGCGTGTGTCTGTTAATTGTAGTATATACAAGCCTGTCTTTGCATTCCACTTCAAACCATTCCTTAGCAAAAGAGCGATTGGGCAAAAATGATTTGGAAAGTGAACCCGAGGTCTGATTTGATGGCTACTGTTCGAAACACTGTACTTGCTTTTCTCAACGAACTATAATTAAGCAACCATGGCTTAGTGTGATATGCCCATTCAATCAGTAATTGTGTTAGCACAAAATTGTAAAGGATTCCGTTTGACCTTTTCAAAGTTTCAACCGTGCTCGCTTTGTGATTAGTTAGATGGGAGGTCATTACTCACGTTTCATAATTCTACTGCCTAAAGCTTAAGTGTGCAGTCAAAACCTGGATTCATAAACCAGTATTGTGCCAGGAAAATAACTTGAGATGGAATAGCACAAGGCAGAGCTATTTCCCGAGCAATGTCTGCTTTTAGTTTTTTATCTCTTGCATGTGCCCAAATACTTAATTCTGTAAACAGAGGAGCTTAGTTTGAAGTGAGCACTTCAGTGATCCTGAGCACCTGGTGGTGTAAAGCAACATGTGAACCAGGTTGTAAAGGTGATGCACAGAACTATCTACTGCAAAAGCCAGGGAAAACACATCTGCTTGTTTCCATTCACAATGCATAGGGAATGGAACAAAAAACGAATGTTATTTTTTTCAGGTGGAGACGAAGGGCCCCCTATATCCAAACAAACAAATGTAAATCAAAACAGGTCCTTCACTGGTTTCCCGCCTACATAAATGTATATTTTAATTGGCTATGGTTTTTAGTTTCATTGGTTTGGATTATGTTTTAATCTGATTAGAGAGTGCTTCAGAAACCTATACATGGCCAAAAAAGCAGATATTAAAAATAAATAGATCAATGTGGCAAATCTGGTTTCTCTTAAATGCTACTTTTACACTGATTTTTTTTGTTCACCCAATACAGTCAGGTGTCACGCTTAGTCCCTAAGCATCATTTCTATTTATCTTTATTTTTGTAACTGAAGTTTCAAGGTTAACATGTTCAAACTTGAAATGGTTACCTTTTTAGATGGTTGCTCTTAACCCAAATTCTCTAATCTACAATAAACCATTATGAGCAGAATTTACCTATGTTATAATTTAGTAATGTGTTCCCATTGTGCTGGGCACTGATGGACTGCAAATCCATAATCCAGATATACAGAGCAAGGAACAATTTCTTTTTAGTTTCAAACACGTCAACAGCACTGTTTGCAAACTTCTCCATCGTCTCTGGATCCCCTCCTTTGCCAGAAATCTGCAGTTTGCTGATGGAGCCCTGAGTTGCACATTCCAGCCAGGAAATAATATCGCATGTCTCCTCAGGAATTCAGCACTTTAAAAGTTTCTGGTTGACAATTTGAAGGAATGATTTATTTGCTCTTCCACCAGTCCACATCTGCATATATTTTTCATATCCAAGAAAGGTAATTCCTTGAAGACTGTTCACGACTTCTGAACTCTAACAAAGATCACTACCGACTGCCTCTTATTTCAAATATGCTGACCATCTTCAGGAAATACCAGTTTCATGAAATTGCACTTGGCAGGCACCTACCTTGTGACAAACAGGGATGAACATTTAATTGCCTCTGATAACAGTTGTGGCAAATTGAATACAGACATGCTTTTTGATTGTGTTAATTGGGGCATGGTCTACTCCAGATTCATGAATGAAATGTTTTTCTGATATTTTTGATATGTTGTGATGTACTTGGATGCTATATTGACTTTTTAGGAGACCCATCTTTGCATGAGACTCACATCCAGGGTTCTTTGAGCAACTTTGTAAACATGAGCTTTTTGATAAAGTGATCTCCTTCAGTTGTATTACTTGGGTTACCAGATCTCTGCAAAAGGAATACAAATGGATCCCATAAAAGTGCAATTTGCATGCTTTCCCCCCCCCCCAAGTTTTTTTATTTTGTAACATATAACAATTCAATTTTCAATTAAACTATATTTTCTGGGTACAAATAGTTTAGGAAATAGTAACAAAATATTTACAAAAGGGTTCATTATTATAACAACAACAACAACAACAACAATTTAACCATTTTAACATTTCCCTTATATCATTGATCCTTTCCTCATCTTTCCCTGTTTCTAACTCCTGTTTTGTCAGTAACCATTGATAAAATAAGTCCCAGGTCAAAAAATATTCAGTTTCTTTCTTTTCCTTAATTGTAAGTGTTAGCCTATCAATTTCTGCACATTCTAATATTTTTTAAATCACATTTTCATCTGTAGGGATCTCTTCACTTTTCCATTGTTGTGCAAATACAATTCTAGCTGCAGTCAGTACATGCAAAATTAGATATGTAATCCCTTTATTGTACTTATCTGGTAAAATGCCCAACAAAAATATTTCTAGTTTCAAATCAATGTTGTTTTGCCATTTTTTCCAACCATGTATGTATTTTTGTCCAGTATTTTTTTTTTCTTTTGGGCATGTCCACCACATATGATAGTATGAACCAGGTGTCTGATGACATTTCCAACATTTTGCAAATGTATCCTTAAACATCTTTGCTGGCATGCTTAAAATAAATACAGGGTAGAAAATGCAATCTATAAAACATTTTGTAAAGATTTTCTTTATATGTAGTTGACATTGTTAATTTATAATCTATCCCATAGTTTCTGCCAGTTGTCTATTGGATAATCAAAATTTTTAGCTCATACTATCATTGTCTCTCTTACTTGTTCATCTTCCATCTTAATACTTAACAAATAGCTATATGTTTTCTTTATTAGTTTTTCATCTGTCCCTGTTAATATCTGGTCTAATTCTGTTAATTCTTTGTAGAAACCATACATTTTAACGTCTTTCTTATATTAAGATTTTATCTGCACTTGTGAGCACCATATAATTTGAATCCCTTGACCACTCAATTCCTGTTTAGTTTTAAGTTCCCCCTTTTCATTCAAAATCTTTATATCTTGTAATATTTTCCGTATCAATAACATTTGGATGAATCAATGCCTCCATGTGGAGAGCCAGACCAGTATTTTCAAATAGTGATGTTCTTTAATTTTCTCTCATACTAATAATAATGTGTTTCTGATGTAATGTCTTTGGAAATACTTACGGTATGTATTTTGCTTTTTCCATACCATAAAAAAGCATGCCAGCCCAATTGGAGATCATGTCCCTTCTAAGTCAATAATCTTGTGCCTTAAACCAATACATTCTTTCACCCAAGTGAGTACTAAAGCCTGATAGTACAATTCCCAATCTGGCAGTCCAAAGCCACCTCTGTTTTTAGAATCTTACAGCATTTTCAAACTTATCCTTTGTTTTTTACGCTGCGAAATATATCTTAATATTGTTTTATTTAATTCTTCAAAGTATTTTTCCCAGTTTTATCTGTATTGTTTGAAATAAATATAATATTCTCGGCAAGAGATTCGTTTTTATAGTAGCTATTCTTTCCATCAATGACAGTTGCAAATCTTTCCACTTCTCCAAATCTGTTTTAATTTGTTGAGTCAGTTTATAATATTTATTTTCTTTAATAGTTGCACACCTTGCCATTAGTTGAATTCCTAAATATTTAACTTTCTTGACTACCTGAATACTATCCTCTGCATTAGCTCTTTTTTTCTGTGTATCTGTAAGATTTTTAACTAATATTTTAGTTTTTTTGTTATTTTCAATCCTGCAACTTCATCATATTCTTCTATTTTTAAATTAATTTGAGGCGAATTTCTTGTGGATCTTCCAGGATAAAAACCAAGTCATCTGCAAACGCCTGTAGTTTATATTTTTCCTTTTTTATTTCCATACCTTTAATTTCTATGTCTTGTTTAATATTTCTATTTAACACTTCTAATGTCAGTATAAATAGTAAAGGGGATAATGGACATCCTTGTCTTGTGCTTTTTTAAAATATTAAAGTTCTCCGTTGTATCCTCATTTACCCCCACCTTTGCCATTTGCTAGTGATATATTGCCTTAATCATGTAGTGAATCTCTCACCAAAGTCCATATATTTTAGTTGTAATAACATGAATTGCCAGTTTACATTATCAAATTTTTGTATTTGTATTTTTGTATTTATAGTTTATTTATATGCTGCCCTTTTCCCTGGGGGGACTCAGGGCGGCTTACCACTTAAAAAGGGGTGGGGGAGACAAACTTTTAACATATAAGACAAATACATAATTAAAACACAACATTCATACTATTCGGGCGGGTTGTAGTCTTAACCCCAGGCCTGACGGGATAGCCAGGTCCTGGGGG